ACCCTGCTTTTTAGAGAAGCCTGTCCAATAGGTTCTGGGAAATTAAGACAGGTCCAGCTTTTACTGAAATAAAGGTTATTATGATAGTGGAGATCATGCTAACTCTGGCTAATATTTTTAGTCAGATAAAATCCTTTGTTCTTTGGGATGCAAGTCCATGTCAAGTCAACACTTTGTTCTTGAAGTTTCTTCTCCTGACTGTTGAGATGAGAGCCTATAAAGCTTTGACCTAAAAAAGCACAATAAATCTCCAGGATACTGTTAGAAATGAAATGTTACATTTTATCTCATGGTTATTATCATAATGGGGGAGAAAAAAGAATAACAAAACTACAATGGTAAGAGAGATTGCCCTTGATCAGCTTTGGACTTGCTAACAGAGGTCGCACAGAGACATTTGTCATTGCTTCTGCTTAATGGCAATTCATAAGATCAAATAGAATTTTTTAACATTATGTTAATGTTTTATTTAAAAAAAAAAACCTAACCAAGTATGACATATGGTCATGTTTATTTTACTAGCTATATGAGACTGTTGTACGTGTTGACCCCTTCCACTCACCCGCCTAATTAACCAAAAATTAATCCGAGGTTACAGTATCCTCTGTATCATAGGAGAAATAGACTGGTTTCAAACATGAGGCATCTTGGGTTTCATTACTGGTATTTTTAGATTTGATTGCCTATTAAGACTGAATATGGATTGATTCATGTTGAATACACAAAGGAGAATTCGAATGATTAAGTAATACACCACAGGTACACTTTTTGATAGGCATCACATGAGTAGCATCTATGTTATCAAGGAAGATAAAGCTTATGCTCTGTGTGTGTAAGTCAAGTCAACTCTGCTAATGCTGCATTATGATTCAAGACAAGACAGTCTGCTACAGATCTGCACGCTACTCCAGCCGTACTCTAACCTTTGTCCATTGAGTGCAAGGTCCATCTTAGGTGCTCAGCTCCATGTGAACTCCCATGCTGTGGATAAAGTGAGGCTAGGATTTGGACGTACGTGTGTGTGTGTGTGTGTGTTCTGTAGAATGAAAGCTTCTACCTAGCTCTCTGCGTACACATTCAAGGCCAGATCATCCCCTCCTGCAGTAAAACACACAGGAGGGGGCTCTGATACAGATCCCTCCATGTCATCTCATCCAGAGAAAGACCTCCCATTCCCTTAGAAAGGACTGCAGGGCTAGCCTGTAAACCGGGCAAATCCTTTGAGCATCTGCACCAGCTCTGGCCTCTGGTAGTCTCCTGAGGCATTGCAAGGCCCAAGTCTTCTTGGGTTCCTCCCCCCCCCCCAACGAGATCGTCTGTGGAAAAGGTAATAGAGCCTCATGTTGTCTGGAGAATCTATGTGGGTCTGGAGAGGGATGATGTGCATTCCTGCACCCCCTGTAGAGCAAACTTCTTCCACATCAACCTGTCCAGCCTCTACCCCTCCCATGAGCATGTACCCTGGATCCAATAAACTTCATCTGTGGGGTCTGGAGGCAGGGACCAGTTCTGTGGAGGCAGCTGAGATCTGCACACGGACAGCCTGTTGTGATGGCTTGATGCAAGCCCATTGAAGTCGATGAGACTCTTCCCATTGTCTTCAATGAGCTTTGGATCAGGCCTTGTTTGTGAACACTGGGGAGAATGGTCCAGGGCTTACATGGAGAGCCACGATATCTGGTTTTGTCTCTCGTAGATGTTAACATTTTGTGCTTCTTTCCCTTATATTTTAAACATGGCTAACACCTTTTAATATATCTGAAAATATGTGGCCTGCATGCAGCCCCCTCTTGAAAAACAGCTACTCTGATTAAAGTGCAGACAGTATAACTGTAATCGCAAGAATGTGCTTCTTTCACGGCTGTATTAAATAAGCAAAGGTCTCAAATGCCACGTTTCAAACTTTGTAACTGGATGCTTTTAAAGATTATTGATCATCATCATGTAACATCATGTTGTTACTTTCCAGAGACCGACAGCTAAAAAAATTACTTCAATGGAGCCTACTTCTGTTCTCCTTCTCTTGCCACTTTCTGCCACTCCTCTAACCTATTCATTCACCATCATAATGTTTCAAAATGACCAAAACCTCAGTTCTTGCTAATTATACGCTACATGCACAGCGTGATGTCATAGTCTCATAATCACAGGTTATTTGACAGTCCTGCAGCCTGGTTTATTTGATACCACTTTTTGTTTTACTAATAACATGTCAGGAAAAGTCCCACTTATTGTCTGTCTGTAATTCTCCCCCCCTCCCTTCACCCACATACACAGCTCGAACCTTCTACCCATTGATGTCAATAAGAGATTTGTCATTGACTGCAGCAGGAGTGTTAATAGGGCCATAGTGTCCACAGAACTTGACTTGTTTACCTTTTTTTGGACAGAAGAACTTAAGCACATAGAGTTGTAGGGTCCCCTCTGCTTATACGGGTGGAAGAGAGCTGAAGATGCTGGCAGAGCTAGGAGGAGTCTGTGGTTCAGCTGCATACTCTCACTCTGCCTCAGAGTCCCTCCCACAAACCACCAAGTTGAGGCTCCGTGACCGTTAGAATTGGGCATATTGCATGTGGGAGAGGATAAAGCCAGAGGGATGACCAATATAAGAGGCACATAGTCCTCCCAACCTAGTTGATATCTGATCAGAAATTTAGGTGAGAGTTAATGGTTATCCAGGTGGCACGAATTCCACATCAGGGCTTCTGCTCCCCATGGGTGAGGGTCTTGTGGAGACGGGTTCAGAAGGAGGTGGAAAGGGCCAGTGGCATAAAGGCATGTGGTGAAGCTTTGCTGCCAATTTTCCATGATACAGCGGGTTTTCTGTGTCTAGGGCTCTATTTTGAAGTCTTTCCTCAGGCCAAGATTACAAAACTCTTCCCTTCAGGAAAGAAGGGAAAAAATGCAACATGGTTCACCTTATAAAGTTTCCAATGGGCTTTTTTTCTCCCATTTTCCCCCTCCCCCCATGGTAGAGGACAATTAAGATCATAGTAACTTATGCAAGAAAATTAATTAGCTTCATCATGGAAGTTATCACGAAAACTACATGTTTGATGGTTGAATAAAGCTAAGAGTTTTTGTTTCCAACTCTGTTCTCAGAGATCCTGTCATTCATTATATTTAGTTCATTATGAAATTGTATTGTTTTGTTTTCCTACTTGGACATAGCACATAAGATCATTTTGATCCGTAGCCTTAAAGGCAGTTTAACTAAAGTATTATTTATGAATTCTCGGTATCATAGTGTTCTAATAATCTGAAATGCTTGTGGTTTCTTTGCACACTTAAAATCCATCTTTGTGGTCAAATACCTCTTGGATGATTGAGCAAACTGGCCCTATTTCATATTTTTCTATTATCAAATGGCTTCCCAATAATTTTTTAATACATAGTCTAAATTCTAAGGCTACAATGAAAGCCAATTTTATTTCCTGCCCTAAAAATAGTTTTTATGTACCACAAGTTCCATGCTCATTACAATTCACAAAGGAATTAGTATGTTACTTACCACTTTCCTGCTGTTTGTTCTTTTCTTTTCTTATCTTTTCTTTTCTTTGTTCTTTTTTTTTAATTTTTTTTTAACAGTATACTGCTCTTATGTTTCCTCAGCACATTGTTAAGCTGAACCTGGGCAAGAAGCTGATTGATATGGCTCTTTGTGCCCTCACTAAATAGCAAAACATACAGTATATTGTGTCTGCACTTGGGGGGAAAATGGAATGTAATTAAATCTGTTTCAACTTGAGTAATGTGACATTTCTGTTCCTTTCATGTCAGACTTTATTCTCTTCTATAATCAGATTTCATAACCTCATTTATTATGTTTTCTCATTTGAATAGTCTTTAAATAAATGTAAGGGTTGTGTTGCTAGCTAACTAGTGACTATTAATGTGTCTATGTTGACTTTTTCCAAATCTTTTGGGTTTGGTGGTATGGATCCCCCGGGCTTGCAGGAGGACATCTTTATTTGCCAGGTATTTAAACCTCACACATCTAAAATACAGGGGACTGCGCTGTTTCCTTATAGGAACCAGAATATTTCTTCTAATAAATATAATACCAGGAAGAGTCTGTGTACAAGCAGACAGAGCTTTTTTTAAAAAGTGCATGTATAGACAACCTCTGTGAAATCAGCATTCAACAAAACAGATATTTGTTAATACAAGGGGTAAGATTTGCCATCCTTTAGTGGCAGTGCCTATCAGAAGAGGCATGAAAATCTGAAAACAAAAAAAATCGTCTAGCTCTTTTTCATAAGAGCAAATTGCACAACTGCACAAAAGAAAAACTAAACACACTAAAGCATTTGTAGAGTCTGTTGGACATTTAAAAGGGGCACTGGCAAGGAGTGTCAAATTCAACCTAACTTAAAGACCTTTTAGTGTGTGGAAAATAGTCTCAATTTCAATGAAAACTGTGTTATTGTTTTTTTTAATAAAAAACTCAGCCAACTCCTATAAACCTTTTGGGAGGAAACCCTATCTGCATCATATTTGCAAATAATTTTGGACAACCAGAGATCGTTGTTTATACCCTAATATTTTGTTTGTTTTAGCTCCCCTATCCCATTCCCTGGCCCCGTCTCCCCACTACCCCCCTACACTGTTGTTTCCTATAATTAGTACAGATACACATCTGTCTCCAGACTATCACCTAATCACTAAGGCCATATGGATAAATGGAATATAATTACAATTTGGTAGAAACTGAGTGTTCTGCTTGTAAAAGTATTGTTCTTGTGGTGTTTTAAATCAGGTAAATTCAACGTTTGATATGGTGGGGTTTGTGGATTGGAGATGGTTTTCTGCAAAATATATTCCTTATTTTTACATTTGAAACCTTTTTAAAAAAATTGGATCGGAGGGCAATTATACGATGGTGGAGCGATGAGAAATTGTTACCATAAAATACAAATGCCCTGCAGATTGTATAGAAATCTGGCTCATTACATACAAATATTAACAGAGGTCATTTTTTTTGTCCCCCTCTTTTTCAGTTATTTTTATTTCAGTTGCTGCGAGGACTGTCTTACATCCACCAACGTTACATTTTGCACAGGGACCTGAAACCACAGAACCTTCTGATCAGTGACACGGGGGAATTAAAGCTGGCAGACTTTGGTAGGAAAGCAGTTAATTAAAAGTCTATTTTATAATGTTCTGGGAATGGCAGACAGATGGTTTCATTGATTTTCCTGTTCCTAGACACACCTACTTTATTGCAGATAATTGTAATTTTTTCTCCAGAGCTAAGAAATTGATTATGGTCTACATAATACTTGATTAAAAGGAGTGAGTGGAAAATAAATAAATAAATACTCCAAATCCTACTAGAAAGGGATGATAACACTGAAAGGAGTTCTGTTCTCGTTATCTCCATAACTTAAGATTTAGGATTTAGAAGAGAACCTTTGAAAAGGCCTAAGGACATACAGGTCATGTCTAGTGGACAATCATTTGTAGTCATGTGTGTAGTCATGGGGACATAAAGATTTGGAAGTAAGATTTAACTTTCATTAAATGACCAATGATTGAATGAGGCTTGAGGAAATAAGAAATCCGTAATGTTCTTCCTGATGATTAGAAGAAACAAGGATTATATGGACTGTTTTCAGTATCCATTGTTGATCCCTTGTCAGGCGACTCTTTGTAAAGCATCTAGGTATAAGACATTGTTCACCCCTTCCTTGTAAGGATGTCCCTTCTCAACACTTCCTTGAAAACCCTCCTTTTCTAGCAGTTATTGTAGCAGTGCCTCTTCCTCTAAAGGATAGTGCCAGTGTGGATGTGGAAAATGGTAATGCTTTTCTTGGGGTTTGTCTGCACTTACAGCGGCGCAGCTGCACTTAGTGAAGATGCTACCATCGCTGCTGGGAGAGCTTCTCCTGTCAGTGTAGGTGCTCCACCTCCACACGTAGACACAGCGCTCTCTACACAGGGCTGGCTCCAGCTTTTCTGCTGCCCCAAGCAGCAAAAAAAAAAGAGCGGCGGCACTTCGGCGGCAGCTCAATCACGCCGCTTCTTCTGCGGCAGTTCAGTGGCGGGTCCTCCCTCTCTTCCTCTTCGGTGGCAGCTCAAAGAGGAAGAGAGGGAATGAGGGACCCGCCACCGAAGACCCGGATGTGCCGCCCTGATACTGGACGGAGTGACGCCCCTTTGAATTGGCCACCCCAAGCACCCGCTTCCTACGCGGCTGCCTGGAGCCAGCCCCGTCTCTGCACCATGGGTTTTGTTGGTATAACTACATTGCTCAGGGGTATGGATTTTCTATACCCCTGAGTGACGTAGTTATACCAACATAAGTTCCTAGTGTAGACCAAGTCTTGGTGACTTTAAAAAAACACTTTGTTTTATCAAGTGTAAGCTTCCAAATGCTGACAGAGTGCTTGAGGAGTTCTGCATCTTACTCTGGACCAGATTCTCAGCTAAGGAAAATCAGCATAACTCCGTCTATTTCAATGGTACCACATCAGCTTATGCCAGATGAGAATGTGGCCCATCAGCTTCTTGAGGTGCCTTTTTGTTTTTGTTTTAAAAAAGCCCACCCTATACTCTCGGCTTCCCATTCTATTTACCAAGTGTAGTGAGGGTGCCTTACATGCTAATTGACAATTTCACTAGTAATTTAGTGGTGATTTTGTCTGTAATTAAAGTTACTGTGAGTAACAGCTGTGTGCGCGCTTATGTGCTGGGGAAAGAAATCGAGCTTCATATGATCACAGTTCACATAAATTTGATTAGTCTGTAGATTGTGAAGCAGCTTAAAGAAACACTATCCGAAACCAGTCATGTATAGCCTTGCTCACCATTTTCTGTTGCTATTTTTTAATACTTGGAAGATGCTACAAGATTTGAACAAGAAATGTTTTTTTAAAAGAAAATTCAAAGACTTTTGCTCTCCGGGGTGATATATTGTAGAATAAAATTCCATTTCTTAGAGAAATTCATGAAACATAGGGGGATCATTAGGTATTTATGCTTGCAGTGAAATATACATTAGTGCTCTGATGAAATATATGCAGTTTAAGGTGACTTATTTTCTTGGTTGAAATCGCTCGTTTTGCCATATCTGTTAAATATATAGCGATCCAAGGATGATATGAAAGTAACTTGAGTTATAGTCTTATAAGAATCTAAACACCTCAAGGGTAGAGTTGACAAAATAGCTGATTTATTGGTTCAGTAGCCAAACTGAGAATCAGAAAAAAAAATTGTTAGTTTTGAACTAAAAAAGAATGATGTTTTGTTTTTCTTCACAAAATGAAAAATCACAAATATATTGTTCTGGCGGAATGAAATTTTCTGAATTTTCAAAAAAAAAAATTTTTTTTTGGCTAAAACTGTTTACTGAATTTTACTTAAAATCATAAATAGTTTTGATATCTTGAACAATACATTTTTTGGCAAATTTACTACATTTTTTAGACATGACAATAGGAAACCCAGCTGTAGTTTCAAACTTCTGGCTTTCATAGAA